CAGCTTGATGGTCACCAAACCACTGAACTCATACTGTTGTGTGTGCATGGGCGCGGTGTGTTCAAACTCAGCTTCCAACACCTTTGGGGAAGGTGCACTTTCAGTCAGACAATTTGGAGGCTCAGTGGCAAGAGAAGAAGTAGCACCGAGACCCTTTCTGTAACACACACACACGCACACACACACACACACACACACAAAACCACTCAGCCATTTGGATCTCTGGGTATGGGGGGCAGGATTTGGTCATCTTCATGAACAGTATTTCTCCAAAGTCAACCAACTGGGTGATGCCAGTCCCTATCACATTTGAATTGATGACTCAAGACTTAAAATTAGCAAGGCAAGAAAATTCCAAATGAGGTGAGAAAGCTGTAGAAATAGTTCCAGCTCCTCTAGTACTGAGCCATTCAATATCATTTCTGATGACAGGGACAGAACGAAGAACATTCAATGTGGGTGTGAGTCTTTCTCATATACGAAGAGCTGGGAAGTATTTTTTTAAGGAAAATAATACATGATTCAGGAACACTGAAGTGGCTTTAACCCCTTGCGGGCTGCAGCTATAAAGACAGGAGGCAGGGATGCTCTTGGATTTCCTAGAGTCCCCTCTGCTTCACGTAGTCAAGCATAGTTGGAAACCTACTACTGTATCAAGCTCAAGTGTGACTTGCAGAAAAAAATAAGGTGCAAATGATGTCACGTTTTAACCAAAGCCGTCCTGTTAAATTCAGTACATGGAAAAAAACCAACCAAATAATTGTGGGAGGCAAGTTTTGTGGTGCTGCCTGTGCTATTTGGTGACGGTGCCCAAGGGCGCTGCAGATCCAGCAAAGCCTTAACCGAGTGCTTATACCCATTGCAGTCGAGTTGATTCTGACTCAGAGCGACCCTATGGCACCCAGAAATTTGCTGCAATTTTTCACAAATGATATCAACTAATTCTAGAAGATATCTGGGAAGCCCAAAAGGCCTCTTCTGTCTTTTTCTGCCTCTGGATTTAATAGCTCCTACAGATTCCTTAACTGTAAGGAAAGGGCCGTCCTGGGAGCCTTCTTAATATGTACATAAATATGATTTGGTTAGTGTCTCTGTTGCGGTTTCCTCGCAAGTTAGAACAAGTCAATCCACTAATCAGATTGATAAGTTGTATTTATCCTCTTCTTCAGTCAATAGTGTTTATAGACCCTGAGGAATAAAAACGAGCTGACATGATTTGCTTTTCAGTTTGCCCCAGAGTCACCTATTCTTTGCATGGATTTTTGTTTCTTTTTAAGCACCAGAGATAATGAAGCTCAAAGCAATTTGGTAAGATGCGTTGTTGAGTTTTTGTATTGGTACGAAGTTATCTGGCTGCATTTTAGAGGATGGATCTGTGTTTAAAGAAACGAACAATGAATGTCGATCTTATTTCTGCAGAAGTGCCTGCTTCTACTGACACTACTTTATCTTGATTCTTTCCAAATTTCTGTAGAGATGCAATATACAATATAACAGCTCCAAAGGCAAAGACAACACTGTAGATTCTCTAATAGAGTCCAACCTCAGCCAAGAGGCAAGTATTGAGAATTGTTCAAAGAATTTTAATCAAAAAGTCTGGCTTTGGGTCACATGTCTGCTTAAACTCCCCCACTGCTCGGCGTGTTGCACGCACCACATAGGGAATTAGAGCCCCATACAAGGTTAGTAAAAATGAGCTCTGACTTGGTGAAATGATTTCCGATTTCTGAACTACTCCTTGATACAGATATTTAAAGTGGCTGAGAATATGGGGGATTATCTGCTGGAATGCACTGCGAAGCTAGAAAAAGAAAAGCAGGGAAATATTTGTGAGTTCAAAAAACTTTTTGACATGTGCCTTTTTTTTTTGTTTTTTTTTTGAAGGTACTGCAGAAAATGTGGCATTACTGTCCTTCTGGTTCCCGTAGGCACAAAGCCCCCAGCTCCGGGCCCAGCTCACAGCAGGCCTGTAGCAGGTACTTGTGAAGTGAGTGTGAAGGATTATTATTAGTTCAGGATCACACTAGTAACTGCACTTTTTCCTCTTACCTTTTCATATATAAGATATGCACCCTCAAATGTGCACCCCCTTTTGGGGTGGGGGTGACTTTTCTTCTAAACAAAGGGTTGGTCCATCAAGGGGTGGGCTGGGGTACAGTGGCCTGCTCAGCGGGCACCGGATTCCCCAGCCTGCCTGGGGTCCTAACGAAAGGGGGACCGGGCTGCGGGCCGAGCTCAGCCACCGCCTCGCACCCCGCCAGCCTGCTGTCTCGGCGGCCTCGAGAGAGCGGGGAAACATTAGTGTGGGCCAGCTGCCGAAGCCGGGCGGGGTCGAGGGAGAGGTCAAGGTCGGCCGCGAGGCGGCTATTGATCCGGCTTGGAACGCGAGACAGGGAGCGCAGCAAGACTAAAGGGGGAGCTGTGAGGCCAGACATTAACAGCTTTCAGCGCTAATGACGCCCGTGCCAGACGGGCAGAGGGAAAAGGAGGAGACTGGAGCGGCAGCTGGGATCTCTCGCTGCCTGCGCCCGGCAGCCTCGGGGAGAGAAGGCGGAGGAAGAGGGCGAAGGGGCCAGCGCCGGCCGGCCGGGCCGGGC